CGATCTGCCGACAAACAGCTGATCGGCAGATCGGGGCAGCCATTTAAATTTAAATGAAGCCGCGATTATTTTAATCGCGGCTTCATTTCCCTCTTCCAATCTGGCTAATCTACATGCCTCCGTCGAAGGAGGCATGTAGTCTAGACATACCCTAATATAAGATTGTCAGTCTTCTTGCGCAAATACTATGCTGCTCCCGTTTGGGAAAAGCCCTTTTGCACAAATGTATTTGCGCAAGAGGGTCCGTGTAGACAGCTAAAAAGTGTTTTGCGCAAAAAAGCCCCGATGGCAAAAATGGTGATCAGGGCTTTCTTGCGCAAAACCACATCTAGATTGGAACAGACACTTTTCTGCAAAAAGTGCTTTTGTGCAAAAGCGTTCATGCCAATCTAGACGCTCTTTTCCACAAATGCTTTTAACGGAAAAACTTTTCCATTAAAAGCATTTGCGGAAAATCATGCCAGTCTAGACGTAGCCAATGAGTTATATTGATCCCAAGTACTTACATAGCACCATAACCATAGTATCAGAACACGTCTCAGGATAATGTATTTATCCTCACAACACTCCTTTGACGAGGGCAGTTCTATTGTCCCTAAATTACAGATAAGGCACAGAGGTTGTACACGAAGTTTCTGGCAGACTAAAGAAATGAGCCCAGGTCTCCCAAGTTGCAAGTTATTGCCCTAATCACTGGACCATCCTTCCTCTCTGAGGAAATAGTTTCCAATGAAATAGTTTCCAATCCGATATTTACTTTTACATAATAATGCCATTAACTAATTGTGATACTTAACATTTTAGCTCTGGAGAAGACAGTTACAATGCTCTTATTTAATAATGTGAAGAAAACTTGAAGCATGGAGAATACCTTTAGACAGTGCCATGGAATGATGGTCACCACATGCGATTTGGACAATGTATCTGTTCGTTAATTCTTTCAGCAGTCTGGAAAAAGTACATTCAGTGCTGTGAACCCAACATAAATTATTCTAATCTTAATCCAATAGTAGCCCACCTGTGAATCTATGCTTATACAGTTCTACCACCATCAGCACCCAACAAATACCATATATCCTTGCCTCTAACCAGAGCTGGCCTTACTATGAGGCGAACTGAGGCGGCCACCTCAGGTGCCAGATTGTGGGAGGGCACCACTAGGAGCCATAGTGTAGAAAATCATGTCTGCTGCTAGTGCAGTGAGGGGGCATGGGGGCATCATTTGAGCTCCCCGCCTCAGGTGCCAAAATGTTGTGGGCTGGCCCTGCCTCTAACCTTAATCATACTGCTTCTGCACAGGTACAGTTCCATCAGGTCCAACGGAGCTTATCCTGATTTACACCAATGGAAGCTAAAGGAGGACCAGACTTTATATTTACATATTTTTTAAAACTGTGACTGGGGCAAGATTACAGAATACAACATCATGCAGTTGATGGTAGTGCACTTATATGCTTCCTGAAGGTCACTGGGGCTGTGTCTAGACTACACATCTCTGTCAACAGAGAGATGTAGATTAGGCATGTTGAAATTGCTAATGAAGCAGGGATTTAAATATCCTGTGCTTCATTAGCATAAACATGGCCGCGGATCTTTCGAAAAATAAAACCTTTTTAAAAAGATCCTGTAAACTTCAAAAAATTCTTTATAACAGTAGCACCTTTCAGCCCATTGCTGTAGGACGCACTTTTCTGTCATACATAGGAGAAAAAGGCCTGTTTGTTAGCACTGCTGTCCTCAGACATGCTCAGTGGACTAAAATTTAACCACAGGAATCAGCATGGGGTCACACATGCCTTCCAGCGATGCTCAAGCCTGGTTCCAGCATGGTTGGTCTTTCAGGGCATTGGCCACATTTTCTGTATAAATGAAGCTAACCTCTAAGGATGCATCTAGACAGGACCCTTCTGTCTGAATAAGCTACGCAATTTGCACTGTGCAAATTGTGTAGTTTATTCCGAGTCTAAATCGAAAGAGTTTATTTTGAAATTTGGTGCTGTCTATACAGCACCAAATTTCAAAATAAGGCACTATTCCAAAAAAGTGAACTATACTTTCAGTATCCCGAAATAGCAACGTAGTCTAGACATACCCTAACTTACAATTCACACCTATTTTTGTTGTTGTTTTTGTTGATAAACTCTTTCCTAGGCGAAAGGGAAATATTGGTCCAAAAATACCTCTCTATTTCAGTTTCTGCCACTGTGTACTATTGGCTTTCTATATTCTTCCCTCACATCCCAATGGCTATAGCTGGGTTATCTCTCTTGCCCTAATGTTACCTGGGAAAGTCCCACATTCTCCTCTGAAAACCATTCCATCCTACTCACCTCTCCTTGCTCTGCGACTTATTAGCTGTGTTTGAAATGCTGTGCTCAGAAAGCTTTCCTTCCGAGGAGAGAATGAGCATATGATCAGCTTCAAAATCCAAGGAATGCACCCTCATGTTCTTTCCTGTATTCATGTATTCTGCAGAGTAGATCAAGATAGAAATCCACAATCATTTTGAGATATTGAAAATATTAAAAGCTACACAGCAATTATATTCTATGTATTAATGATTACAGAATGAGTTACTGCTTCTTGGCACAAACTTAATCATTGGACTTTGCACATATGCCCTTACTGGTATGTGACCATTCTCAGGCACACACTTCTATATGCAGAGGTGGGATGCAGAGCACCAAGATGACCTGCAATAGTGTGGTCCATAGATTTCAGTAATGGTTGCACCTTACTTACTCACCCCCACACGTGTTGGTGTTTTCCAGTGCATCCATACAGTTTGTATACCCACCATCCATGCCTGCACAACTTTCTCAGCCTTCCCACAACATCTCATAGACTAGAGAAAGAAACACTGTAGAGCTCATTTCTGTGGCCTAAGGAATCCCCAAAGGGCTGCTTTGCTTCCAGTCTCCCCATCAGAGTGGAATGTGGCCTAACTAATAATAATTTAGGACCTGATTTTCAGAGGTGTTGAGCCCCCGATCTCCTTCAGCAAGAGCTGAGCACTCCATTCTTCTGTCAGCCTAGCAAATTACTACAAACAAAGCAGAGTTTTAAAACACTCTAATTAGCTTGTCACCATTTTTTTCTGTCTGTTTTTGTCTTGTTTGCACATCGCTCAGTATGGACAACAGAAAAGAAACTAGTCAGTTTCACTGTTGTCCATAGTCTGGTTGTCTGTCTGAATCTCATGGCCTACTACTATGTGCTTGCTGCTGGGATTTACTGTCCTACAGAGAAAATGGTTACACCCATAAATAAAAATCTGATAAGTGCAACAAGATAAGAAATCACCAAAACTTTTATAGAAAAAAACAACAAATGGTCTGGTAGCACTTTATAGGCTAACAAAACATGGGGGCTGTGTCTACACTGCACCCCTTTTCCAGAAAAGGGATGCAGATTAGACCAGTCGGAATTGCAAATCTGCGGGGGATTTAAATATCCCCCGCGGCATTTGCATTTACATGGCTGCCACTTTTTTCCGGCTGGGGGATAAGCCGGAGAAAAGCGCCAGTCCAGACGCGATTCTCTGGAAAATAAGCCCTTTTCCGGAGGATTTCTTATTCCTACTTTCAAGATTTGCAATTCCAAAGTGTCTAATCTGCATCCCTTTTCCGGAAAAGGGGTGCAGTGTAGACACAGCCGTACATGGTATCATGCACTTCTGTGGGCTGTGCCCACGAAAGCGCATGATACAATCTACATGTTTTGTTTGTCTATAAAGTGCTACCAGACCATTTGTTGTTTTTTTCTGTAACAGACTAACTCGGTTATCCCCTGAAGCTCCAAAACTTTTATAGTTCACTTAGCTTTTGTAACTCTTCTTCTTCTTCTGTAATAGTAGCAAAAAGGGAAGCAAAAATTAGCCATTGCCTCTTTAACTTAGATTTGTCTACCCAACAGGTCCCTTTGTCACAGACTCTATTCCGTTTCCCAATTAGGAACATCCCTAGTAATTCATATGGACTTCATTCTTATTAGACTACGACTCCTGAACAGAGGAGCCTGTGTGTGTTTGTTTCTTGACTGAAAATCACTCAGAAGAAGGGTGAAAAGAAGAAGATGGTTATGTCAATAGCTTTCATCTAAAAATTGGGCTGTAGTGCAGAAGCTTAAGCATGCATCACATGTAACAGAAGCTCCACTACATGTAAGTGCACATTGGATATTCACACCATTTTACTATTTGTGCCTCATTTTCTTCAGCATCTAGAAGTTATTGGTCTAAGTTACTATGGTCCTCTCATTTAAATGTACCTTAAATTAGGGCTGTCAATTGACATGCATTAACACCTGCGATAAACGCAGTCTAGGATTAACATGTTAAATTTGTTAATGCGTTTATCGCAGGGTGTTAATGCTGCGCTGCCCCTTTGAAGTGCCACTGCCGTGCTTCAAAGGGGCAACGCAAGGCAGAGGCCAGAATCAGCTGGGGACTCCCCATTTGTCCCCGGGGCTCCACTGTCCCTTTGAAATGCCCAGATGTGGCGTTTCAAAGGAGCAGCTGCCTCACAGCTTAACCAGGGATCAACTGAGTGGTGGCTGCCCCTTAGAAGTGCCGCCTCCACGTGTTTCAAAGGGGTAGCAGAGCCCAGGGTCAGCTGGGGACTCCAGCTGGTCCCGGGCTCCTACTGTGTTGCCCTCCCTTTGAGGGGTAGGAGCGGTGTTTCCAAGAGGCAGCGCAACGCAGAGCCCAGGATCAGCTAGGCACTCCAGCTGATCCTGAGCTCCGTGTTGCGCTGTCCCTTTGATGCGCCACCATGGTGCTTCATAGGGGCAGCACTGCATGGAGCCCAGGGTCAGCTGGGGACTCTAGCTGAACCCGGGTTCCATGCAGCGCTGCCCCATTGAAACGCTGCGGCGTTTCAATGGGGAGGCACACATGATTAATTGCATGATTAATTGTGATTAAATTTTTGAATCGCTTGACAGCCCTACCTTAAACTAAATCACCATGAAGCCCAAGCACTCAGATCACTGAGAAGTCATGAGTCAAGTATCTGTAACAACAATAAAGTTCCCATTTTTCTGAGAGAAAGGGTTATTCCTCCAGCAGTCAGAAGGAGTCTGAAGTCCAGAAGTGGCTTTCTATACATCATCTATCACCTGGCAGCTTGTAAGCAGCTTGACTGTCCCTGAATAGCTTTCTGCTCAATCTCTAGAATGGAAACCGAAACTGGCACTTTTACAACAGAAAGGAAACTTATCTAGGCGAGAAGACAGAAATAAGAGTGGCAGTAGGCAATTGAACAGCTTTTGAACAGCAAGAATAGATAAATTACAAACCACTTGGAGTTTCCTGTGAAAAATCAACCTAAATTACCTTGATCTCCTGTGATAAGTTTAGTTTAAAGAGGAAGAATATAAATATTAATGCAATGTAAAAATAATGCATTACAAAATCACACTTTCCATTTCTGTCCCACATTTAACTCTAAAGGGGTTAGATTTGGGTACATGACAACAAGAAAGAAAATATTCAGGTATTGGTCCAGATCCTGAGCTGCTGTAAAGCAGTGCAGTTTCCTGACATCTCTGGAGCTATGTCATCCCTGATCCTTGGGTCTGGAAAACAAATACTCACTAGGTTTTTGCGGAGGATCCTGGTGGTATTCGCCTTGTTTGTCAAAAATGAGAACACTTCCATTTTTCTCCACGACAGCCAGAGAGCTCACTTTGCAATTTATCTGGCAGATTTCTTGGGGGTGTTTCTTGAAGAAATTGGGATGGCAGTTTGGTTTTGGAAACAAAAACAAGGATGAGAATGCTGTTTCTGCTAGTTGAGGAGGTGGTGACAATAAACTCATTTGGCTGCTTGTTTGTTGCCTGCCTGTCTGGCAGTCCCTTGTCATTTTGTTAGGTATGCTCTTATTCTCCCGCTGTATTCAGCACTCCAGAGAAAAGTAGCCAGCCACAACACACTGGATTGTCGAAACCGTTCCAGATGCAGCAAAAACAGCTGATAAACACAAAGTCCTCTGGAATCCACTTGGGAAAGGATACTTCTGCTGCTCAACTTTTGCTTGCCACAGTAAATGGAGAGAGAAAAGGGTTTTGCTCTTTAAAATGTTTACAAAAGAAAAACAGAACCAGCCTATGGATTTTTAGCCCATGGAAGTTCCTTGTATGATTCAAGTACTTGTCTGATACTGCTTCTCTAAGTTATAGTAGTCTCTGTGAGTGTCAATGTTGGTGACTGATAAAGGGAAGAAACTACTGGTTTAAATCTCCACTGGTTGCTCCACCCCCTGCAC